CGCAGAACTGGTGCCCGCAGTCCTTTGCTTTGACAAGCCATGCGTCCTTCTTAGCCCGAGCCATCCATTCGGAACGGAGCTTCGCGGTGACGCTCCCGCCTTCGGGCTGCACATGTCCAGAATGTGGGCCTTGTTTGATCAAGCCCTGTACTGGTCTGTGGCAACATGGCAGATGGTGGGGTAGTGACAGACCTTTAGACGGTTTAGGTAACATTGTTTAAGTGTACTTCAGACAAACCTTTCACAAGCGAGAGAGTGACTGAATGGCACTTTACTAGGGCGGTCTCAGGACACCTTGTTACTCTTTCCTTAGGTTCAATCTGGAGGACTAATCCAAAGAATGCCCCTAGAATGACATTGACTTGTTTTCCGAGTACAGGGCAACCCGCATCAAGTTCACGCGAATTATTTCAATGTTCACAGATTAATCCGCAACGAATCTCACGAATCCCAATGAATGAGCACCGAGAAACGGGGACACCCATCTGAGCGGGTGCTGTGTAGACTTCTCGCAGGACGGCAGCATGATGCCTTTCCAGACCACCGTGATGGCGGCGGACGGCAACCTGCTCCATGCGGAGCGAATTGCAAGGCATTTCGAGCTGGGAGAAACGATTCCTCTGGACAACATGAGGCGGACAACCCAAGTTTCCCACACAACCCAAAAAACAAACCAATGTCCCGCGTCCTCTTGGGAAGGTCAGCAATTTGCTCTGAAGTGAACGGATCGCGGTTTGAATTGCGTCGAAAGCGCACCCTTGCTGCCTGCAAGGGGCGTCCAACTTGATGAAACGCCTGCAGGGTATGATGTCGCAAGCGTCTAATGAAGTCTATTCTTGACCCCTCCGCAAACCATGGATTTTTTTGGTTGCATGTCTTGTTGAAAGGAGGGGGCTAATCATATCAGTGATGGAGTATCCTGCAATGCTGCCTCTCAGTTCGGATTCATTTCAGCCTGGCGGCCTAGTGCATAGCTGCAGTTGAACAAGGAACGCCTCCTACAGTCATCCATCGCAAGAAAGACCACTGCGCAAGCGCCGGTTTTGAAGCACGCGGCGAGATGCCCCGGATGAAGCAACCTTGCAACGTCTCCGGGCCGCGCGCAGACGAGCAAATCGCAACACTTGTGTTGTGCCGGTCCAACGTCCTAGCACCTGGCAAATGTCCCAAGCCAGGCGGGGATGCGGGGGGATGACGACCGGCGTGTACACATCGTAAGGAACCTGATTCGAAATATTGGGAGTCAAAATTAAACCACCAAACAACCGCAGGTTTTAGTCCTTGGTTCCATTTACCAGGGCAAGCAATTTTGGGGTTACCCTATTTTTGACCCACCATATATCAATCCCGGGACTTGGAGGCTCTGCTTCGAGCTCTTGCGCTCCGGCAAGGACAAGGCCTGCGGAATTCGGGTCAGAGGTCAGGGAGTCGGCCGTGTGGCCACAAGCCGTGCTCCTGTTGTTTGCCCATTCATGCTTTTTTTCTTTGCTAGCCAGTGGTCAAATGACCAAAATGTGCATGCCAGTGGTCAAATGACTGATTCTTGTGCATGAGAATGTGGGACTGGATTGAGAGTGCTTGATGTGATTTGCTGGCATCAGTTGCTTTTTCAACTGTGAAGACAGCTTACTGCCATGAGTACCAAGAATTGCGTATTGCAAGCCCGATGCGAATCGATGCAGTGTGGAACCAGTCGGTCAGAGTCCTAATTCAGCAACTTGTAGGTATTTGCTACAAGGAGTGAAACCGTTATTTTCAGCAATTGGCAACTACTGTGTCACCATGATGACGGTTTTCTAGATGCTCTCCCCACTATCTAGTTATTGGGCTTATTGAGGCATGCTCTCGCGTTTCCTTTTTGATCAGGATTGCAAAGTATATTGATACACACGATGAAGGCTTCCGGCAAATCTGAGCAGCAGATTTAGAACGACACCGCTGGTGTTTGACTTTGCTCAGGAAGCAGCATAGCTTTGTGGACAGTTTAGACGCGGGTCCGTGCGTACGGCGATCACATGTTGTGTTTTGTCCATGCCCGATCGGGCTTTGTTCAATTCAATCCCCCAGGGCGAAGGTAGAGGGCACAATTCCCTTGAAGTCGCAAGCAAGGGGATGGTTAGAACAACATTCGGGGATTGTACAATCTACTTTCACTCAAGACGCCATATTTGTAGTGGTTTCCCTTGTTCCAGGTCTCACGGATTGCGGATCAGGAATCGAACTCCCCGTTTTGGAGCCTGAGCGCCAGGAGACCGTGGTGAAGTTTCGCAATGAGCAGTATGCAAAGCTGCCTGGCTGCCAATTTCTGTCACCCCCACAATGCACAAAGCCGAGTGGTACCACAAGAAACGGATAGAGGACCATGGAGCAGATGGCCCGTTCACAATTTGGGGTTGATCCATATTCCTGACCCCCAAATGACTATGGCTAATTTTGAACATTTAGTGCGACATATCATTTATTTAGTTGTCCCTCAATGGTCATCCCATATTAATAAAGGACCTGTTGATCAACCCCCATTTGCTCATTCCGCCCGAACTCCTTCTGGCCATGTTGCCCCTGCCGAGCCGAGCGAGAGCTCGCAAGGCTGAAGCAGCTCAAATCCAAGCGCAAGCGCGAGTGAGATGCTTCTCTCTGCCACTTTTGGAGTGCGGAGAAGCGCGTGGAGAGGACTGGTCGCAGAACCGCGGCATTGCTCAGAGCTGCAGTCCGTTGCCCTCCGTACAAAAGACACAAACTTGCTCGTACGATTTGTATATCTTACTTGCTGAGTGTTGGTGGTGTAAATGGCAAACTGTCTTCTTGGCCAAACCTGCTCGCACGATGCATTGCGCATTTCCTATTGGACTGGAACTCAGTTGTTCCTGTAAGTCTTGCATGTTTTGCCGCTTGCAATTGCAGTGCTCAAAATCGGGCGGCGTTTCCGAGTTTACCCGTATAATTATTGTTGAACCATGACTCTGAAGGAGTAGCCTTGTTTGCGGCAATTGACAAAGCCAACCAAATGCAGCAGGCGTTTTGTTCCTGGATAAGGTCAATGCTCGCCTTCGGGGCTGCTCTGGTTTGATGCTCAATTGCTTGGCAGCTTGGTTTGTATGAGCTTGCTCCAACTATATTTGTCAGCAATCAAGCGCATTATAGCTGTTTTCACATCGGGATATTGGGCGGATGTCCTTTTGATATTGAGCGTTTTTGGGAGGCAGACGAGTTCATGAAGGAAACTAGGCATTGGAAGACCTCCAGCTCCTGATTGTATGGACGCGTGTGGGAGAGGAGAACTCCTCTTTTTGTTGTCTAGGTCCCCCAGCTAGGTGCCCTTTCTCATTTTTTTTTGGTTGGGAGGGTTCCCTGCTGAAATAGACTACAGAACAACGGGTACCCTTATTCTAACCTCTCTACTGGAGGATCTAGCTTGCCTTATCTCGAACTGCGAGCTCTGGGGCGCAATGCGTGTGAGCAAGAGCGCATGCTGGATGCCGTGTCGGGGTTCCTCATGGTGTAGGCAGCATAGTGAACATATATCACATTCGTGTAGGGCGCTGGTGGGAGAGGGATCGACCAGGTGCCACAGAGACAACTTGCTGCAGGGACTTTGCTTGTGGTTGCCCTGTCAGAGGCCGTCGAACATGTCTGCGCATGGCATGCCTGTCAATTTATGGATGTCGTGGCATTGTGCCATGCCCAATATTTGGATTCCTAGTAAGTCCAAACGCCGTCGACAGCAGGTAAGGCACATGGCTTCCAGCATCCTTTGCTCTGGGTTGGGGACGATGACGGCAGCAGGGTGCGAACGCCGGCATCCCAAAAGTCCGAGGGTCTGAAGGCAATACCTAGGGGCAAGGGATCCCAGCTTGGCCCCTGGTCAACTTTCATGGCAGGTCGTTGGCTGATTTGCCTTTTTCCAACCAAGAGCAAAATCAAGAAGGACTCTGGTTTTTGCAGGCCCTTGGAAGACCAAGCTTTGGATGGTCAAATTATGGGTTGCCATGTGTACCCTTTGCGATTTGTCAATGCAAACCGCCACACGCTCTTCAAAGATAATTTCACCTTTGCCATTCACGGAGAGAGCTTGTCGATGGCATCTGCCCGGTCTAAGATCCAACACCTCTACCTTATACAAGGAAACGCGGCAAATTAGGGACATCCCAAAACAGAGGCTTTCCTTTTAGCCGCCCTGCAAACCGACCTGAGAAGGGTACCCTCAAAAGGCACAAGCCCAGGTAACCAGATATCAAAGTCGTATGTGTGTTGATCAGGGCGAGGCAAACAGAATGCGTACTTGATCTTCAAAGCCAACTGTCCGCCGCAAGACTTTTGATGCCGTTGAATCGGTTCTTTTTGGAGGTGTCTGAATTGCCGGGTTTTGCGAGTCTCGGCATTTGCCTCCAACGGAGTGGCTGTTCCCCCAAGAAGCCTTTTCAGGCCTTACAGTCGGATACCGATTGCTGGAGGTGTGCTTAGCTGCTGGTTGCGCGATACCTATAGCAAGACTAAACAACAGTGTTCCAGCAATGGCTGCAGATTGAAAATTGCACATTTAGAGGGTCCATTTCCGGGAAATACAAGGCAAACGCAGTCGCTGCATGTTTGCATCCTTTCGGAGTCACAGAGATACGTTGCCGTCAGCTTAGATGGCTCATTCTCATCGACTTTGGTACTCAGGTTAAGAGATCCGTGTTTCGCCAATGGAAGGATGCTGAATTCCCAATCCTGTAGAACCTGAAAGGTGTTGCCAGAAGTGCGAGGGTCCCTTCTTGGTGGAAGGGAAGAGCAGTTAGCACTCTTTCTGCGTCCGAAAACAACCAATTGCAGATAGAATCTTGATTGCTATTGGGTTGGATCTTTAGACTTCAAGTTTTTGGGCAACAAGAATTTAAACTTTCTGCAGAGGGGTCAACAGCAACGATGGAACTAGCAGATGTTCGTTTTAGGCAGATTACATCATAGAGTGTGTCTTGACAGAGCCCAAAAGGCACCGCACTTTCGGTTTGATTTGCCAGGCGCGTCCTATGCGTCTACACTTCGCACGGCTAAATCACCAGTTGCTGATGGCCCGGGCACCGAGTGAGATCAATCCCTTTGCCTTCCGTTGGCTCCTCAACCAACGAAGAAGGCGTGCCTTGTGCCAAAGAAGACAAGTAACAATACCCTCCGAAAAAGAAGCGGGGCTTGAGGATGGGCGGATTTTTTGGAGGCAGTCGCCGACATCGTTGGGACGGAATACACTAAATGGTGTGAAGCGGTGTGTCGCTAATAGCTAACTCTGAACGACTCACAGTCATGGTTCGTCTGAGCGTGCTTGAAAAGGTGGCTGTTTCGTTGGCCCAACTCACGTGTGCTTGTGCGGTGTTGGCTCGTTGGCTTGCACACTTCGTGTCAACAGACCTTGTGTCAGGCTCCATGCATGGGCAGAGCAAAGTGCAAAGTAGAAGGGCTGGGACTGTGACGGAATTGTGCAGACTTCACGAGTGATTGACTCGGGGCATGGCAAGGACCAATGAGTGACATCCTGTGAAGCTGTGCATTTGCTGTCAGGCACCATTTGGCCATTCAGGTTGTTGAACGAGGCGCATGACAAGGCAAATGTTGGTCAACATGGGCCAACCACCAATTTGATTGACTCAACAATTGCTGAGAGCAATCGCTGGTATTGTTGTGGTGGTGTCAGACATGTTGGCCATCTGGACTTGTTTGCGATCTTTCACAATCGCCAATATCCAAAGTCACCAAGCCATTTGAGGGCAAGCTGTGAGGGACCTGCTCTGAGTGGACTTTAGATTCGGGTCTTGTATAGTTTCTTCTTTCTGGAACACAGGTATCTAAGTATTTGATCTACCAGAGGAGATCGGCCACGAGGAAATTGTTTTCAGCCGTGCATGGACTCTGCAAGCTGCCATGCGCACTTCTTTCAGTTGTATGCTGTACTTTGTGCCAAACTTGACATCAATCAAACACGTTGTTCTTAACCGATTGCCCGTGGGGTTGCAGTAAAGGAAAAAGGAAAGACCAAGCTTCCAACATGAAAGCCTGCCACCATAGATATGTGTCAAACCAAGTGAAATGGTAAGTTCATGTTGGCTTACATTGACATATGTTCCCGGAAGTGTCGCCAATGTTGTCACATCCCCGCATTACAAGCGCTGTTCCGGTGACGGGCAAGCCTTGCCTTTTAGCCTTTGGGGTGTTGCACTGGTGGCATGCGAAGGCTATCCATGTTTGCTCCACAAAGTGACAAGTACAAGACTGGGGGTGGCAATGATATGGCACAACCTTTACTTCCGGCAGAAGAACTTGTCTCCTACTTGCTTTGCGGGTCCGTCTTCCAGCTGTCGTGGCCCAAATGCCAACCTTGCAAGGGACACGCATGGCTACTGGCATCCGCCGACATGCATTTGCCATAATGCATCCGGTTCTAGTCTGAAATGAAGAAACCGTGCCTGTCCTCGGCTTCTAGGCTGTGCGCGATGACATGGCGCCAGCGGACATCATATCCCTCCCTTTCCCGGATTGGCGCCCCAGGCCGGGGGCAGAGACTCATATCCGCGATTATCCGCGTCACTGTACTTGCAGGGCACATCAAATGAAGTCCATGCACATGACTCGTTGAGTGAGGATCCTTATGTTGCGCCTGAGCAGAAGTTCTTGGTTGCTTTATCATTTGAGACACGTTACACATGGGTTTTGCCATTTCAATCTTTGGAATCCTTAGATCAGTATATGTTACCCGCGACAATCCACCAAGCAACCTTTGCACAGGTCCCCTAACACCCGAGCTTTCTTTGTGCCTGGTTAAGCCTTTGGGTCTGCAAGATGCATGCCACTTCGGCGGCAGACCTGATGGACAGATGTTGCTTTGGGAAGGCCGATCATTTGTTTGTTTGCCCGCGGTCCCTTTTTCGCGGAATTTCTGGGGCCACTGGCTTAGAGGCGAGAGCTGCAAGTTGGCTGGCGCCAAGGCACCATCTTACCCTCAAGGGGGGTTCGACGGCTTTTCCGGTCGCGGCGTGGCTCCACTGGGATGTGGGACTTTGGAGCTTATCACGGCTGGTACTTGGCAGGTTTTCGCGATGGGACAACAAGCTTAGGGGATCGCTGTATCAGTTCAGCTATGAAACATGACTTTGTGCGTATGATGCTGCGAATCGGGAAGACAAGAAGCCTATATTCTTTAAGCTTCATGAACACACCCATTCACGGCTGGCACAAGTTTTCCTGTGTGCAAGATATAGATGTATATCATAGATTAAATCAATCTCGGTATGTGAAACAGGTCTCGGGGGGGGAGGTGCTGGTGTACACACGTTGGCATGGTTTTCCCTATCTGGGGTCTGTGCTGGGTGTTTTCATGCTATTGTTCATTCCCCAGATAGCTGAAAGCTATAGGGGTTCTAACTTCTAATAAAGAGGGGAAGGTGATCTGCGAGATGTTTCAATATTGTTTCAACATTGTGCGACATTTTAGGGGTTCCAGGCCTTGGCTTCCTCAGTGGATTTCTGCAGAGTTGTTCACGTTGCGTTTGCCTGCCTTCGGCAGGCCGCTGGGAGCTATGCGAGTCACTGTGGTGACTTGGAAGCAAGCGGGATGTGAGGCACTTGGTACATACCCCATGGTCACAACAAGATTCAAGTTTATGCTGTTTTTTCCCCAACGGCTGAAAGCTTTGGGGTCTCAGCCCACATTATGACATAGGCTCCGGGGTGGTCCGGGGCGACCACAGAGTTCAACAAGAGTTCTGCGAGGCTTCCACGAGGTTCTGCGAGGGCTATGGGGTGGTTCCACAGGGTTCTGCAGGCTTCCACACGGAATCCACAAGCCTTCCGCGAGGGTTCTGCGACCACAAAAAATCCGCACACGGCCTAGCAGAAGGCGACATCCAAAGCAAAGTCGGCGGTGAGCTACGGGTGGCTTGAGTTGGTAGTTTGGGATCCCGGACGCGCGTGCATCACCGGGCCCTGGTCAGGGCCCGCTTGCATGTCGGGGCTCGCTTGCACCAGCGGACCCCCGGTCAGGGCACCGTTGCCGCCTGGCCCATGCAGCAAGTTACTCGATTTGCCTTCACATACAGCTATATGTTGTGTTTGACGGGGACCCCCAAAGATGGTGGTTTCCTTTTGGTTTCCCTTTAAAACCGCAAAAGCAAGCCTTGGCAAGAGGCATCTGGAGCATTGCATTGGCCTGCTTTGGATTGGCGCTTCGCCCCAATCCAGAGCCCTTTTGAGGCCACGGACTCTTGAGCCAGCAAAATTTTGTGTCCAGCGCGTCTTCAGGGGTACCTGTCGGGCAAGCCTTCAAAGTTTGGGTCACCAACACTGGATCTGGGAGTTGGGCGTTTGGGGTCACAGAAGGGGCGCCTTTCTTCCATTTGGCCTTTCGGAAACGTCTTTAACACCAGTTTGGGGATCATAGTAAGTGTGGCACATGCAACCGCGCCCAGAAAAGACGAACATCAGGGTTGACAACGTTTTGTTAGGATTCGTCCACGTTGCCGAGCGCTGCACACCTTGTGTTTGAAGCTTTCAACAGGGGTTGCAATAGAATGTTAAAATATATTGTGACCAACGAGAGAGCTCTTTGTTCACCTGGGACCTTGACATTGTTGAAGCTAAGCAAAGTAGGATGCAGCCGTGATTTGTGCGACGGTGTCCCAGTGGTGGTTGCGCGTGTCGCGTGCGCCGAAAGTCTAACGGTAGTTTTTCGGCGACATTGAAGGTAGGTTCATCATGGTTCGGCTGTACGTCCTGCAATACGTCCGAACCGGCACGAAACTCCGAAATTTAGGTGGTCGGTTTCTGGTTTGCGAAGTTGCTGGCTGCCACGCGTCCTGCCTTTCCAAGGATGTATCCATCGCGGACATGCAGCACCAGCTCTTCCACTTCAAAGGCTGACTGGATGTTGCGAGTCCAGCTATTTGGTTGTTTCTCAAACCTGGGGTCCATTTCCTGAAATCGTTTCCTTTTGGTTTCCCCTTAGCAAACAGAAGGGGGCCCACCATTTTGAGAAGCTCCCGTTCTCAACGATATCATTTCCGCTTGCCATTGCCAGTGGGGTTTCGAAGCCGGCGCCAAAAGAGCAATGCTCAAGGAACTCCATTTGGCTGATGGCTGGTGCCACTAGTTGCGTTTTTCTGAAGGTGATGAATGGTTGAGTTCCTTAGCGGTTGCCTCCCCAGTGTATCGTCTTCGGTAGGAGGAAAAAGCCGTGGGAGGAAGCCAGCCTTCCCACCGAGCAATTGGTTGCAAAGGACTAAGAGGGACAGCTTCCACAAACAGGGAATGTTTTTTTTGTTCAATGTCTTGCTTTTGGGTGCGTGTTTGGCTGATTTCCTTTACACTTTCTTACAGCTGGGTTTTTAGTTCAAAACGGAATCGCGATCGGAAAGTTGGGTCTGCAAAGCGCAACGTGTCCTCTTCGACGCGGTCTGTTGAGCTTGCTTCCGCAATGCAATCCAGAGAAACCCTACAGGCTTGAGGTGGAAACCATATTGTAGATACTTCTCTGCACAGTCTAGCATGGTCGCCCTCTCAGTAGTGATATTGAGCTGTCGGAAAAGGCTTGAACCTGCACTGATAAGGAGTTGAACAAGGGCACGTTGCTCTGCATGAAATGCAGGTTGTTATGATGGCTTGAAACGGGGCAACAAGGACGATGTCTATGCTTTTGTAGTAAAGTTGTGCCTGCTTGCTTGCTTGCTTGCTTGCTTGCTTGCTTGCTTGCTTGCTTGCTTGCTTGCTTGCTTGCTTGCTTGCTTGCTTGCTTGCTTGCTTGCTTGCTTGCTTGCTTGCTTGCTTGCTTGCTTGCTTGCTTGCTTGCTTGCTTGCTGCCTGCCTGCCTGCCTGCCTGCCTGCCTGCCTGCCTGCCTGCCTGCCTGCCTGCCTGCCTGCCTGCCTGCCTGCCTGCTGCTTGCTTGCCTGCTTCCTGCTTGCCTGCTTGCTTGTTTGCCTGCTTGCCTGCCTGCTTGTTTGCCTGCTTGCCTGCTTGCCTGCTTGCCTGCTTGCCTGCTTGCTTGTCTGCATGCTTGCCTGCCTGCTTGTTTGCCTGCTTGCCTGCCTGCCTGCTTGCTTGCTTGCTTGCTTGCTTGCTTGCTTGCCTGCCTGCCTGCTTGCTTGCTTGTTAGTGTTGTGGGTTTTATTTGTTTGTTTCCTTGTTTGACTGTTTGCCTTGCAGATCATTTGTTTGATGTTTCATGCACGCCTTTGTACAAACCCCAAACCCCGTATGAGAGCCATACTACGCAGGCTCATTCGGTTCAACGTTGCCCGGAGGTGCCCATTTACTCACCCTTGCTCCGGGTGGGGGGTCTTCTTCTCCAAGTCCCTTCGGGTCCTTTGGAATGGTCGCGCGACAGGGATCACCATGACGGTGAACGGCGCGCCCGGCCGCTGGTTCACCCGAAAATCCGATTTCTTTTTTTGGGGGGAGAGAGAATTGGCAGAAGTTTGAACCAGCAGACCCATGGAAGGAGCTTGGCCCTGTCCCGTTGTTTCCGTTTTTTTGGGCTGAGACAAACCTCGATTCGCGTGCATCGTTGGCAGCAGGCCATGAGATGCGCAAGGTTGACCCACATTCAGAGAGCTCGCCGCGTGTGCAAGTTGTTCGAACAGTTTGAACTGGAAATGTTGACTTCCGAAGACTGGGAAGTGTTGCGTTCTATTCGCCTCCCACTTGAACGGGTTTTTCCATGGACACTTTGCGCAAGTGGTCCAGCTGTTCAGGTTGGGGTACCAAAGCCCGTCCAGTACAGTTCAGTGTCAGAGTTTGATATCGGCTTGGCCCTGGAACTAAAATGTTTTGTCCAACTTGTGACCTGGCTCAGCCGTCGCCTTGCCAGCGTCAAGCCTCGCACCCTGTTGCACCTGTCGTCATTGTGCAGGTGAACATTCTAGCGGCAGCTTCTGCATTCTTACCAGGCATTCCAGAAACCCACACCGAGGGTTGAAGTAACGATGGTGGGGAAGGAACATGTTGTCTTCCTCCCTGCAACATGACAAGCCGGAGGTAGCTGCGTTTTCCAGGTTTGAATGCGGAAAAGGACTTGGTAAACGCATATAGACCCCAGACAGTATGGCAAATTGCAACCGCACAATGACCAGCACCTGACTGCATCGCAAAACAAGCACACCTTGACTTGGGCAAAGCAAGCACCGCTAGTACCTCAGCACAAACAGCACCCTCGCCAGCACCCTGACCAGTACCTGCCCCCACCTGGCCTGATTTTGCAAGACAAAACCCAATGGCGAAAGCTATCTTGGGAGCAGGAATCTTGAAAGGTCATTGAGCCAAGGATTGCAATCAATGACAACTTTTGGATTGCAACGGCAATCATAACAATCGTGAACCAATTGCACATGTGCGACGTGTAGCAATCCTTGTTCGATTGTTGGAAAGCAAATTTTCACAATGATAACTTTCCAAGGCACTCTTCCAACGTAAAAGCCACCGACAAAGGAGCCACACACTTGAGCTTTGCACAAAGAGCTTTGAAGAGCCAACGCCTGGGGAGCTGACTCATGTCTTCACTTCAGTGTTTCCAGAAAACAAATCCTTTGTTACCTCCAACGGCGGCGATCGTGAGGGAAGCCACAAGTAAATGGATCAACTGTCTGGATGGTTTCAAGACAAAAAAACAAGTAAATTGATCAACGGTTTGAAGGGGAAATCCAATGACCGCCATTTTCGGTGAAACCTCTTTGTTTCGGTCGCTGGGCCAGGTCCGTGGGTTGACTGCTGCGGGCTCTACGTGACTTGACGGGCGAGTGGGCGATTTTTGTTGTTTGGTCGCGTGTCGGAGCGCTGCAACGTGGCTTGAAGTTCTTCCGTTTTGTTAAGAATTTGTTTTTTGTTGTTTCCCCTGTTGGTTTCAAAGGGAATCTATCACTATTGGAATGATTTTGTTTCTTTTTGCCAAGGGACTTAAGCAAATGGAGGAGTTTGAAATCGTCAGATGAGAATCTCGAAGCACGTGATGCCTTTCCGAGATGGGGGCCGATTTTTGTGTTGGCTGCATCGATGCAGGATTGGAAGCCACTGATTGCTTCTAGATACATGTAGGGGGCCACAGGAACAGCCTCACTTGAGCGCCATAGCCAGCCAGGAGCGCCAGATCAAATTCAGGGGTCACTAAAATGGCCTGTGTGGGTGTGAGTTTCTTCTTTAGGGAGCCCGGCTCCCTGTTAATTTGCCCAGAAGTCAAGTTCCCAGTGGTTCGTGAGCAAAGTGGGCAGCTTTGATTGTACTGTGAAACGTTGCGGGTAAAGCGGCTTAGTTCAATCACAGTGCATGTCGTGCATGTTGCTGTTTTCGTTAATCACAAACAACAACTTACAGATGTTGTTTGTTTTGCTTTTAAGGCACAACTGCTGAACTCACAGATGTTTCTGTTTGAATGGTGCTTGCCTCACCCGACACAACCCCTTCTCAATTCTCTAGCGCCATTATTTTGACTGTTTCTGGGGGTTGTCAAAGTCAGAAAATTGGGTTGTTTCCGTTTAACCTACCACTTAGAAACTGACTTTTATCATGATAAAATCCGCCGACGCCTGCTCTTCCTTCGGAATCTCTTATCAAAGCCGAAGGCTTTTGGGGCTGCCATTTTTTTGGCATGGTGTGCTGGGTGTCCAAAACCCTGTATTTTCCAGTGTGTTTGGGGCTTGCGTGCTAAAAATATGCGTTTCGCCTAGGTCTCTAGGGGGGGGGGGGGTTCTCTCGGACGCGCAGGATGCATCCCCGGCATCATCAGGATTACCTTGCTGCCATGAATTTGTCTCTTTTTTTGCAGATACAAATGGTGTTTTGCTGTTCCAAGCGATGTTGGAATTGGTCTGTTAGGGGTCTGGGTGGGGCCAAGTGCAGTGATACGTTGAGGAACTGTTTGAATTTGGCAAAATGAGTGTTTTTTGCAATTCTCCACCTGTACAGTGCAGTTACTGCGAAACATCCCCTGCAGTATCATGCTTTTGGAAGTCTATATTTAAACAAAACCCTGGTTTTTTGCACTTGTTTGTGGCCAGCCGGCTGCATTCCCAGCATTCCCGACATCTCTGGTATTTTCTGTGTTTGGTCAATTTTGTGTTTTGAAAGTCTTGAAATTTTGGATGCGAAGATTGGGTCTGTTCCTGTACGTTGTGGTTGCATCCCTTGCATGTCCAGCACCCCCAGCATCACTTCCATGAAACAAATGAGAAAGGTCTTAAAATCCCTTGCACCCCACTGGCGTCGGCGGACCGCGTAGCGATTTCAATAATGGAGCCAGATTCTTCAAGTTGGAGAGGTGTGCTCAAATCTCAGGCTGCCGCCAGCGGTCGTGACACCTTTGCCCCGGACGCCACAGCGAAGGCGGGCGGTCGGACATGAAGATATGCTTGCTGAAAGCGGTTGGAGACCCACTGTGAGGAACGTTTAGACAGGTCGTACTTCCCCCCAACAAGTGAGCAGTTGTTTGGTTTTGCAGGGAAACTGAAAGCAGACGCCACTGTGAGGAAACGCTATGAGAGAACTCATCTAGTAAGCCATGGACGGCAGAGATAGGTTTTGACATTGCATGACACAAGAGATCCGGACGGAGAGCTGGCTTCCCTCCACACTCCGTCGGTTTTTGTTTCTTCTTTTTTTTTCTTCCGGTTTCGTGGGAATTTGGATTCTCGAAGTCTCTAATCCGAAGAACGGAGCAAGCAATGGGATCCCGGCCAGTTTCCGTGCACTGAGAGTCTATGGCTGCGGGTCCAAAAGGATGTACAGCTTGTTGGCTCATCCGATGAGTCGTGCTGTTGGACGCCTCCCCGTAGGTGTTATTCGAATGTTTGTGTTTGTGTGAGTGTGCATGGGTGGATGGGTCTTTTACTCGCAGTTCACGCAATCCTGTTCAGGTGGGGTGGGTGATTTCTTCATTCCCCGTTGTTGATATTAACTCTAGCACAGCGTTCGACACTGAATGCCCCGCCCCGTCCCCCCTACTTTATCTCCTATGTCCGCCCTTGCGAGGCCGCACTGTGTGGCTTGGATGCAAGCTGAGATAGTAAGCATCCTGTGCACTGGAACAGCCAAAGTATTAAACTGGAATTCGACGCGCACTCACGATGAAAACGGCGGGCATATGAGCCATCGCTGCTTCCCTTTCGTCGAAAAGACAACAACTGCATTCCCCAAAGGCGTCCGGCGAATTCGAATCCACAGGCTTGTTTGCGGGAGCATTTGTGGTGCCTGGTATCGCTAGGTTGGTGGTCGGGTAGCGCCCTCGGTGTTCGGCGGGTGGGAGGGGCTTTGAGGGCGTTTGGGTGGAGCACCCGAGTGGTGTTTCAAATTTGTTCGTTTGTTTTTGTTTTTTTCTCGGTGGTGCCCCGATGTGTTTGGATGGTGTTTGCACTGTGCGTGTTGATGGTTTTGCTGGTGTTTTGGTTGTGCTCTGAAGATCTCTGAAGCGTTTTTGGTCTCCCGTGGTTTTCCGGTGGTGTTTCGACTGCGCCCCAGTGTGTCCCAGTTTTTTGTATTCGGTGGGGTGTGGTGGGGTGGGGTGGGGCGGGGTGGGGTGGGGTGGGTGGTGGCGGTGGTGGTGGTATCCCAGTGTTGTTCTGGCTGGAGTTGGTTGTATCCCAGCAGGTCCTTCTGACTGGTGTCCCGCTATAGTCTTCCCAGAATGGCGCTGCATGTTCCGTGGTGCGCTGTTGATTTTTTGTAGAGGTGCTTTCGTTTTTGGACGTGACTAGCCTGTGGTTTGACGGCGTGGCGGATGCGTGGTGGTGTTCTGGTGGTGAGGAGTGTTTTGGTGGAGCTTGGCTATCCCAGTGCTGAATGTGCTGGCCCATCATGGCCCGGTGGGCCCAGATGGTGATCTGGCAGTGGCGGTGTCCTCGGTGTGTCCTTCCCCAGTTCTGTCACATCGGTCGGCGAGCTTTAGTTGATCTGGTGAACTTCCCTCTCAGTCGCTGTGTAGTCAATGTTCAACATGTTGGTGTTTCCCTTGTCGAGGTGTCGTTTGGTTGTTTGTTCCCCGAGCGGGGTGCCTGCTGTTCGATAAATTTGCGGGGCCATTCGCGCCTGCCGCTAGGTTAATTTGAATTCATGATTCTGTGAGGACCCAGACAAGAGATACAGTCTCATAAGTCTTGTGTTGCACCGATGGGATTGACAGCACTTGACGCGAATCATCGCTTCCCCCTATTATGAAATCCCGCCCAGGTGCCCCCATATTGATGAAGAGTATGTGTTGAAAACACGTATTGATTGTCAAAATCTGCCGAAGCAAAACAATAAATGGAATTGATCAAGGGATTTGCTTTGGATTTGTAATTCCAACTGAAAGGCGACAAAAGATGTACAAATCACAAATTGAACTTACAGTGAAAAGAAGGGAAGGAACGGCTGAAAGTCCTCCCAATAAGCGCTGTCAGGAGTTTAGTATTGCCCTAATAAGTATTAGGTCAAAATTCAGTACAGGTCAAGGGTCGGTTTTGGATTTTGCCTGCATAGGGAAATTAATGATAGGTGTGGATGGAATAGGGACTATAGGTGAACTCATTCGGGCAAGCAACATCTCGCCCAGTGTTTTCTCTCAGCGAGGTTGCTTGTTTGCAGGTGAATGTTTTCACTTGAGCCATGGTCTTGCACATTCACGCCTAAGGTATCATTTGCCTTCGCGATGATGGAGTCGAAAGGCTGGGATGTGCTCGATTTGTCAATTCACAGGAACGCTGCACATCCGTCAGTTGCTAACCTGAATGCCATTGCCTGAAACCTCAGACTTGGACATGCTTTTCCGCCATGCTAGCAAACACCACACTGAGCTGTAATCTGACCAGTGCCTGAAACCGCAGACTTGGACATGCTGTTCCGTCATAGCAAACACCGGTCACTGCGCCTCGTCGCTTTCATGGGCTGTGTCTGACTTCCTTGTACCCATCGCTATTACTCGCGGGCCACTCCTCAGCGCGTCATCAATGCAAGCATTATAGGACCTCGGTGCCCCAGTAGTGCCCTTTTAACCCTTTTTGTTTGACCCCCGATCTTGCATCACTTGGTGCTTTGGGGTTACTCAAGCAGACGTCGAGCAATTCAGCCATGACTTCTGCCGTGATTTGGAGTGTGGGGTACTCAATTGGTTGCTCTCAACAGGTCAGAGCTGTTGTATGGCCTTGTCACATTGGTAGATAGTGACTTGGTGAGCAGTATCATGGGTAAGGTTGTTTTTTGTTACTAATCCTCCGGTTTCCGCATTGCTGCTGATGTCCAGCTTTTTTACGTGTCGTGTTACAACGTCAATTCATCTCAGCTTACCTTAGCACTCACACTTTGCTTTGCTTGATACGTCCGTGCGCCCCCCACTTTCCTTAAGCGCACGCAGGGCCGCAGGGCCAACAGACCCGGAGCACAAATTTTGTTGGCACTTTCTCCAGCGCAGGGCAGACGTCCCAGTCGAGACCTTCACTGTGACTCGGCAGAGTTTCTGATGGCGCTGGCGGCAATGGCGGAGCGGTTTGCTGCGATCTGAAAAGTCAGCCTTGCCCAAGACTATGCGATACTCGATTAAACAAGTATGTGGTGGGTATGTATGGACATGCAAAACAAGTGCAACAGGTGCACTTTGAACAGTTTCATTGATGCGAGCCAGGGGTCCAGAGGCCTCCAAGAGAAAGGATATAGGAGGTGAACAAGCTGCACAGGTATCCATACGGCAGGACTGATAACCACGGATCTTGAAACTAAAGCCTTTGCATTGGGTAAGCGGTACTCCAAACTGAACAGGTAAGGTTCACCTGCATAAGAAGACTAAGCCGAAGGGGGGAATTCTTTGTCATGTCAACCAACCGCTTTCACGTTTGTCCCGAATTCCGCCAAAGTTCCTGTGAATCCCATGTTTCGAGCCTGCTTACATGGTGTTCGCGAAATCAACCCGCCACATTTGGTCTCTTTGAGAGGGGCAACCATCTTTTAGGACTCAACTCTCTAAACGAGATTGTTGCCGGTGTAAAAGAGGAGATTTTACGCCGGAGATTGAGTCTTTTCTTTGAGAGTCTCCGGCGTAAAGAAGTCATTTCCCCACTCCCAGAAGCCGAGGCCGCAAAGCTACCAGACGCCCTCCACTTGGACTCTTTGCGCTCGCTGGGACCTCAGCGCCCCGGCTCCTTCCCCTCCCATGTCCAAAAAAAGGCGAGGAGTGTTGACTGTTTGAAGGAACCCCCGAAACCTTTTCGGGCCAAGGCAGATGGCTAAAGCCAGCACACCAAAACTTTCTATGCCCCTTCCCTTTTTTTGGTGTTTCAAGTTGTGGATGCACACCCAAGTACGTAATGTAAGGGGGGTTGCACACAATTTCTTTGTAAGGGGAAAAACGCATGGAGGAAGCATGTGTTTCCCAGTGGCTTTTGACGATGTCACGGACCCTATTTTCCATTGTCATTGTTTAGGCAATTAATGGGCAGCTATCAAGTATTAGGCATACCGGCAGTGTCCTGCTTTCGCTGTTGTTTTGATCCGAATGCTAAAATCTACAAGATTTGCTCTTCAAATAAAGGAGGTGGGTGTTGGGAGGTGTCTGCCGCTGGTAACACAAACTTGCCCCAGCGTGCTTGGGGTTGCCACCAGGCCTTGAACCAACGACACGTGATGCCAGCGTGTGACTTTTCTCCTTTGGGGCCTGAGGCCAAATTCACAAGTCCATCAACTCTTCCATACAAAGTGGTGTAACAAGCAAACAAACACAGGAGCGACCAATCAAGCAAGCAGTCCAACGACAAGGCAAGAGAAGGTTCTTCAAAACGACCTTTTGGTTCTTCGCATATGCCCACTGTGTTTTGCTTACCCTTCTTACGCGTCAGTTCGTCAGTCAGTTCTTCACTGTGAGCAAAGCGCTCTCGTTTGCTCTTGGATCGAGTCTCCCCGATGGAGGCCATCCTTGTTCCGTGGCAGGTGGAGGGGCCCGTTCTGCTTGCAACTGACTGGTGGGTTCAGACAAAGCTGAACTGCAACGTGCCCTTCCGTCCACTGGAACCTGACCTGACGTTGTCCAAGACTGCTCTTCTCAGGGACCCGGTGGCTCACTTTTAGTTTTCCCTTGTTGGTCCATTTTACTCATGGCCGCAAAAACGGTTGACCTCTAGCATGTCTGAGTCCTTCGGGCAACTCAGTTGGTGGGTTCCATGTTCGTGGACAGGGTCAATTGAGAAAGCCCCAGCCCATGTCTGCCTTGATTCTTGCAATTGACAGCTGAGGCCTTTCGAGCCTCGTTTTTGAGCCTTTGGCTCATGGCCGGTCGGTGTGCAGAGTGTGACCTGGAGCCAAGCTTTCTGCCACTGCTATTCTTGGTTGCTTTTTTTGTTTACTTCTCGTGGAGGCAAAGCAATCAGTGGGCAACACTGAAACGGTCGACACTGGGCACTGCCACAACGCCAGTGCACTTTTTCTCTCGCAGATCTCCATAGATCTTCGACCATGGTTCTCAAAATGGTGCACCTTTTGGTACTGCATGTGATCAGGGACCAGGGAAAGCAAATTGAAGCCGTCGCCATTTTAGGAAATAGACCAAGTGCCCAGTTTGAGAAGCAGAATGTTTACGTGGCCCGCTTGACTCCTACCCGATCCTAGGCATCCGCAGGCCGATTGAAATTCATCCCGCTGGCTGGCGATTGGCCAAATTCAAACAAAGGCATACTTCCATTTGCTTAAGACTATGTGTATTTTCCCCTGTTGGTTTCAAAAGGAATTATCGCTACTGGACATATGTTCATTTTTCTTAGGGGTCTTAACCACATGGAAGTATACACATCAAAAGCTCGGTCTGGTCTCTTGTCTGAACAGTTGCCCACTTCCAGTAACTTTTGTGGCCTTTGCCTTCACTGGCGGATGAAAAGAAGATACCTGCGTCATTTGAGTTGCATCTTTTTGTGAGATACCTTATTGATTGATGATTTCCATATGTGCCACACCGCTCGCTGAGCGTTTGGGCGCGCCATGGCTCATGGGCAAGGACTGACTTGCTTGCTATCTGCAACCTTGGGCTCTGGGGGGGCTGTGTATGTTCCTCTGCAAGAAGCCAACTCTCTTTGCTTTTCTCGGGCGGGTGGCCGCGTAAGCTTCGGCCTTAAATCATTTCGCTCGTCGATCAAACCTTCTGGAGGGCCTGGGAAATGGAGAACAGGATGTGGATGGCGGATTCTTCCAGGCCCTGTCCTTCTTTGTTTTTCTCGCACCAAGATGTGTGGGCTATATGTGCGATTTTTCCCACCACACCCAAAAACACCCCCACACCCCCCGTGAATGTCCATGGAATGTTCGGATTTCATCCACCCGCAGAGGAGTTCGCAGAAATCGCCAACCAACTCGAGCAAAGTCCCTGGGTTCCAGGACAGTTTTTGCCGGACTGAGGAGCCTCGAGTGCTTGCTGGGCGTGCAGTGTTGGACAAGGAAACCGTGACCATTTTGGGGAACCCGAATTTTTCAGACACCCAAACCCCCAACCACCCTAAACCCTAAGCGCGCCCTAGACCCACTTGAAAAGCCACTCCAAAGGTGACCGCAAAATGGATCGGATGAAAATTCCCCATTTAAAGTCAAGTCGGTGACCCCTCCCTTCCCCTGGGGGATTTAAGGATGCCACTGGATGTGATTTGCCTGTCTCCCCGATTGGGGGATGTGATTTCCAGCAAAGCCCATTTTGGGGAACCCCAATTTGTCAGACACCCATGTGATCTGCCTGTCTTGCAAAGGCGGCGGAGGGCGGGCGTGTTATGGTTTGGTCCATGTTTGGAGTGGCTATGCATCGGAATGGCGCGACATGGGCATTGAATCCTCCACAAAAGAAGTTGGTGGCATGCGGCGTGAGCAGCACTTTTGCAAGACACCCTATCAATACATGGTTACCTAGGCGTGGATGACGTTGTGTACAACATGATGCCCGGGTTAAAGGAGTTTCTCTACTCATAGCCATATTTGAAAGCTGTATTTGCGGCTCGTGTATTCTTCATGAATCAATGAAGTGGTCAGAGAGCCACGATTTGAAGGAGCCAGCAACGCACACTTTGGCCCGTCGTTTCTTTGGTCGGATTCCGCTGTTCCTATCAACAGGCTGAACCAGGTGGTAGCTCCTGCCTTGGGTTGGGAGCATACCTGATATGCCCCGCAAGTCGCCTTGCGGTCACCAAATTGAATTTAATTTCCGCCAATCCTACACCAACACACGTGCTACAACCAACAACAAGTCCAACCAACAGCCAACTACTGCTGAAATCACCGGTCCTGCAGTAGCAGGCAATCAGGTTGCAAGTCAGTCTCTTCATGCGTGGTAAAGGTTCCATCGACTGCCTAGTTCCAATCAAGACCCGTGTGAGAGCTTAGAGCTTTGCCAGTTCGGTCCTTCAGGCAAGCACTCTCAGCCTCCTGTCCAGCGCTAGATAAGATTCGGCATGTCTCGCACGGTCGCGCAGAGATGCTAGTGAATTGGTCCGAGCGTGACTCGCCAGCTGTAAAGACGTCTTACCCGTAGGGCAGCTGCCGTTTTGCATGTGCAAAGAGCCGAGGTCGCGCAAATCAAAACACTGGGGTGCTCAGAATGTGGTTTGCAATTTTGGTGTGAACGAACAGAGGAACATGAGTAGGAGGAAACCAGCATGAAACCAGCCATTTAGAGTCTCTGTGGCCAATGGGACCCTGTTTGCAAGCAATTACAACATTGTCTTTTCCCTTCTGGCGTGAAAGATCACGTCTGTTTGTGCAAGACGTCTACTCTAATCTTCGCAGAGGAAGAAGCCGCTAAGCTGCATGTTTTGAGTAAGCAGAGCTTAAGATTCCAAGGTTGAAAAAGAGCACCGGCTATGAATATATGTTGTGTAGTGATGATTTGGCCGTGGGTGAACTCACCACCCATTTTAGAGCCTGTTTTAGAGGTTGGATTGGGATGTTCACTGGGGGTACGATTTGGATTTGTACCCATGGTGCTGTCACGCAAACGGCAAGCCAAACTTTGCTCTCTTCTTAGACTCACCCAACACGCAGGACAGCTTGGTTGCATGTTTGGCGAGACATACTATGTTTCTTGGCTCGCCCAAGAACGGCACTCTCATATGTGTTTTCGTGCCAGGGTCCGGTAGCCGTAGTGACCGTTATCTAGTGAATCTAGGTCCCCCAGTAGTGCCCTTTTACCGTTTCTTTTTTTGGGGAGTTTTTTGTCTAAAACTATAATAGACTACAGAAACAAGTTCGTACTCTTATTCTAGCCTCTCTACTGGAGGACCTAGTGACTTGTTGCGTTTTGCTCTTTGCTCGCCAAATTCTGCAGGCCTCTCAGCTCCAAACAGGCCGCCGAGGCTTGGGCGGACGTACCGCTACGCAAAGTGCATATAGAACGCCTGCAGGGTGGCCTCAATAGAAAATTCCTGCTTCAGGCCGGCGCTGAAAATGTTTGGGCCATGGCTTTGGTCGGAATTTTCTCATGTTCAGCATGGAAAATGGCGCGCTGGGTCATGCACGTGCAGCATTTGAGATTGGTCTTTGCAAAACCTTCTTCAGTTGACAGTGAGGTTGCATCCACGCCCGCCCACAAACACTTTGGATGATTCAAGAGGCTTTTGGCATCGTGTTCGGACCAATTTGAGGAGGCAGACCGTACTATTCAACTACGCTTTGTTTCCTCGGGCGAAAATCACGGAAATGATATGATAAGGACTGGCTTTGTTGACCCTGATCATTTCTCCACAATTGTATTGTACAAATTATCTGAAATTTGCAATTCTCATCATCTGTGATTTGTCGCTCTGCCAACGTGACCGCTGTGACTCTGACTTGTATGCCTCTTTGGCGTTCCTTGTTGTGCCGGGACATCAACAGCTTGCATATTGTTTGACTTGGAAAACTAGCTGGCCCTCTTTGAGTGCACTTGAGTCAGGAGAAAATATTATTCACCGGCTGGGAACGTTCAGGATTCTGCTTTGAGCGAACCTACCTACTAATAGGTGACTTGACGTATGCAGCTTTGCAGTATTGTTCGCATGTGCCCTCGTCGTTTAATCTACCCTGTAGCATGTGTGCATAAAGACCAATTTGCTGGGTGTCATAGGCCCGCAATGGTTTCTTGTGCTATTTAGATACGTCTATTGATCATATATTTTTTGACACGATCCAGTCTTCGCCTGTTTACTCCTAAGTAGTTCTCCAGCTTTTGTCTATCCAAGCAACTGACGTCTCAACGGGGGCTGTGTTTGACATCATTGCTGATTTTCGGATTTTATATTTTCCGCGCCAGGCTTGCAAAGCATATGCCTTCCCAAGCAAGGTCAACGGTCAATTTGCGCAGGGAAGCTGCGCTTCGAGGTAGCTCTTCCTTCGGATTGCTGCAGATGTGGCCAAGGGTCAAAATCCAAATCGTACCCAGTGAACATCCCAATCCCCACCAAAATAGACTAAAATGGGTGGTGCACCTACCCCAAAATGGTACCATTGGCTTTGACCCGCAGCCATGTGGTCGGAAATGATTTTGAAGGACACCCCGTTACATATTGACTCACTTCCTGAGTTCATGAACTTTAAACTTTTTGGGTTTGGACCATTTTAGTGGTAAATATAAAGCTTGGACTTTGTCTGGGCCATCCACTCAGCCAGTGAGTTGAATATACGGCCGGTCTTTTTGCGGCTTTTTTTTCTTTTTTTTCCGACCATCCCCTTGGGTCCACACACTGTTCCACACGGAATGCTTGTTGTTATCCCCTTGGAGCTGAGGCGTGTAAGGGTGTTGGTTTGCTTGCAATGTTGCAATCGCCTCAAGAAAATCGATTCGTGCCCCTTGTGAGGGGTATTTTAAATATTTTGCTCACCAATGTGCAGCTTCCCGACTGGAAAAGCACCAAGGCTGAATGTGCCACGCAAGGCCTGCTGATGGCTTTTCTTTCGTGCCAAGTGCATCCGGACGGAGACGTCTGGATTATGGCGGACTCTGCCAGACGCCCGCCAAGTGCTAGGCATTTTCTAGGGCCATTTGTATTTGCATCTGAGTAAAACAAGCTGGTGGGCTTGTGCCATCAGAGAGACTCCTCCAGGAGCGCCAGGAGCCCGAGCTAGCGTAGTAACTTCAGGACCGACCAACATGCGCTCATCCTATTGAGTTCTTTGTTCAGCGCCAATGTATTGGCAGTGCTGGCCCATGGCGACCATTGAGCGAATTCCTTGGCGATACAAGTGTTTGATTTCAGGTTTTTCAAACAAGAGGGGTGACCACCTGTAAGACTGGCTCAAAGCATTTGTGC